TCCATCTAAATTATTGGTTATACTTTGTCATAACCAATCAGTCATTACAGTACCTTTAGTGATAATAAGATTGGGATCACAAATACGGGCATATAATTGCAATTACATTTATTTGGCAAGCTTCCATCCAATGATTTACAATTTGCATGGATATATGAGTCACTCACATTCACGCCATAATAAAATTAATCTTGTAAAGAGGGAATTTTCACCTGGCGATGCACATTTGATTACTCTACTGTGGCAAAGGACTCTGTGTAGTGTCTGATTCCCTTCAGGAAGGGGAGGGTGAGGACATCTTAACTAACTCATGGTCTAGGGGATACTCACTAAAATGTGGGTTTGGGGCGTCCTGTTCTCTTCAGGGAGGGGTGGATGGAGACGTCTTAACGAACCCATGGTCTAGGACTCTAGGGGATACTGCCCAAAATGTGGGTTTGGGGCGTGAGACACTGATGTACAATACAACACTGTCTGAGTTGCCACCCATAAACGGGTTCACATACCCAATAATAGAATAGTCATGGCGTAGTCATGTTCGCCGGGTGTGTTATCTCTAGTAAAACAAACATTTGGAGTTGGTTACGTTGGTAAGCCTAACACAACCCAGGACAATCATGTTGTATCAAAGTAATATTACTAAAAGTAGTGTAGTTGTATTATAGTGTAGTATTACTGGATGCTAATGCAATGATTATGTTATAAATGTATTTATTTGTGGAATTGTTATTCCAATAATTATTTGTATAATATACGTGCTCTCCGAAACACAAAGATAGCCAGACAGCCTGGCGACAGACTGTGCGTGTGTCGCCGAGCACTTTTTATGTAAAGTAATGCAAATAAAATGCATTCTAAATGAATTATTTATATGAAATAAGTATTATGATCAGTAAATGTATCCATTATTGGCCATCTCGGACACAAGGCAATGGGGAAAATGACCCCTAAGTGCGTAGTGACTGCTAGTGTCGGTCATCAAGAAAAGATTTCCCTCGTCACTGAGGCGTCACGGAAGTTTCTAGAGAGACAATATATAGTTTTCCTTATGTCTTTTTGGTTGATTTATCATTTGTAAAGGTTAAAAGCTAATTTTGGAAAAGTTAATTTTTCTCGTGTTACCTCGCATGGGGGGTACGGCCGGCAACACCCTAGCCCAGGATGTAAGGGTTAATTATTTTGTACTGACAGTAGTATTGTAGGAAATTTTTTGTCGGTGATACAAGTATGTTTGGGGACTGGCTGGGAACGTATCCCATTGAACCCCATGTTATAATGCTCCCTATTTATGATAATTCACCTAGCGAAGGGTTTTCTGGAACATAACCCCATCATATCTCGAGATTTGCCTGTACTCTGCTGCAATTTAAAATTATATTACTGTATGAATTAGTTTTTATTTGACATTTTTATTTATATTTAAAAGGTTTTTACTCTGCAGTTTTAATATAGTGCATAATAAAGGTAACATTTTGATTATTTTATGTGTTGTAATTTCACATTAAATTTTTTGTTTAAAGTCGGTACCTCTGAGATGATATAGCCATAGATGCTAAAGCCCCTTATTTTTGACCAGCTGCAAAGCAGCTGTTGGATGGAGGCTGGAGCGTATAGACCCTGGTTCAGCCGGAAATAATTATACCGATCCATCAGGAGAGTGTCTTTGCCCCCACAACACAGATTTGGTAGCCATAGACATGGAAGTCTCTGCCAGGGGATGATCTGGTGATACTATCTCACAGGTCACTTGTCAGTGACCCATAAGTCATAGCTGTAACCTACAATAGACATCTAGCTTATATGTGGGATTGCATCCATTATGGGTTTATGTTCGGGTGAAATTGTGGATGTGTAAATATATAAAACAAAGTTTTGAAAAAGGAGGGTCAGGTTCGAGACACTGTTGAAATTATCCACCATTGGGATGTTTACCTCCTATTTACCATACTACAGCCCTTATATAGTATCAATTGTAAATTAAAATTTTATTATATTGTACATAAAACAGTCAAACTAGTCAATTTATTGATAAATTGTTGGATTTTCAGTGCCTTTGTCCATGCTCCTGCTGTTGCACACACTCTCCCATCGGGTGGATTCATAGCAAGCACTGCCTGGGGTGTGAACATATTCTTCAGATTTTATAAATCGTGGATGTGCATGATGAACCTTGGTAAATGTTCACATCAGGAAGGCAATCCAAACTGTCTGCACAGTTGCAATGGAAGAGAGGCTTCTCTATGTTTCATACTATGTAATTTTTGAGTACATAATGCTACATGTGTTTATTTACACACCACCCATGTTTCTTGTTTCACCCACTTTGAGCCAGACCCAATTGATTTTAATATTTTCGTGGAAGGATACTTTAGAACTACAGTATATTCATATCTATGTTAACAATACATATTGGGTATTTATGTCAATGCAATTGAAGACTAAAGGCAGAGATTCCACATCAAAAGAAGAGTATCGCTGCTGGCACTAACAGAGGAAAAGGAAGTGGCATAGCAGAAAGAAATTTTTGTACAATAGAACCAGCTGATTAGAGAGGCTGGTGTGTTACCTTGATGCTATCTTTGAACAAGTGAACCAAAAAGGGATTGATATGGACCCCAGCCTGGAGCAAAATTTACACATTGGGAAGATAATTCATTCTGTAAAATTTTGTATTTATATCTTTTATTGCTATTAGTGTATTAATGAAAACTTAATATACAGTACAGATACATTGTCAAAAGTAGGATTTATCATGAACACTAATCTTTGTTAAACCTTTAAACTTGTACAGGCCTTTATTAGGAACACAACCCTTGATATAAAGAGAGCAACTTGTACTGTTCCTGGGTACAGTAATTCCTCGCTTAACTTCGTCCCGCTTAACATTGTTTCGGTACTACATCGCTAAACTTTAGAGACCAAAAATTAGTTTAATGTCCCGGTGATCTGATACTACGTCGTTTTGCGTCATCACAGACTACATTCTATGATGCATCACTCTCTCTCTCATTTGACCAAGTTACACTCTCGGCTCGTCGTAGAGTCTCAGTGACTCACCACCCTCTTCCCCTCCCACCATCTACCTCCTCCGCTTCACTACCCACCACACACACACTCACACTTGCTCTACCACCTCTGCCCATCGGTGAGTACCAATACAAACTTAGTAGTTGTATATGTATGTACTATTTTCAATAGAAATGGCAATGATTTTCTGTATATGTAATGTATTTCATGGGGCAAAAGGAGGCTCAGGAACATAACTCCCTTATTTTATCTATTTCTTATGGGGAAAATTTATCCGCCTAACATTGTATATCGTATATCGTCGAGTTTTTAGGAACGTAACCCCGACGTTAAGCTAGGACTTGCTGTACTATTCTGTAAGCTTATTTATAATATCCAGACATCTCCAGGTCTCAAGGTATTTGTATATCATGATGTTTACTGTGTGTAAAATTGACCCTGGCACATCTTGAGTAGTATCGTCATGTGTTGGTTGCCTGGTGGTCCTGGCCATATGGAAAAAAATTTATATACTCTGCTGTATTCTTTTATCTTGTTAATGGTATGTAAATTTTAGTTGTAGAGAATGCCTAAGGTGAGGGTTTACATTAACCATAAAGCCTCCGGTTAGGGTGCCGCTGGCAGTACCCTACCCGGGGTTAAATCGAGAAAAATCAAAACTTTTCCAAAAATAGTTTTTAATCTTTTTAAATGATAAATCAATAAAAAAAATAAGTAAGAAAAACTATTTATTGACCCTCTAGAAACTTCCCTGGCAGTGCTGAGGGAAGGAGGGGGGGGGGGGAAGAGATAAAGGGACAGTGTTCTTTTGACAGCTGACGCTCATGGTCACCTATGCACTTACCAGCTATTTTTGGCTTGCCTTTGTATCCTAGATGGCCAGTGATGCATATACAGTATTTACTGATCATAATACTTATTTGCTATAAATAATTAATTTATAACATTTTATTTGCATTATTTTTCATAAAAAGTGCTTGGCAACTCACACACAGTGGTCGCCAGGCTGCCTGGCTGTTTTTGTGTTTGGTAGAGCAAGTAATGAATAAAATAATAATAATTCCACATAATCATAACATTATTTTCCAGTAATACTACACTACAATACAACTACACTACTTTTAACAATATTACTTTGATACAACATGATAAAATGGACAAACAACGAAAATGTAACAAGCAAAGTAGGCAATTGCATTCAGGAAGCTTCCCTGTGGCCAAGCGTGTGGCGTGACAGGCAAATAGTCACACTAGAACCTGATAACCCACGCTGAGCATTTAAACAGTGGCCGGAAATGGCGCGCGTCTTGGTACGTCACCCGGGGCGTAAGGTTTTTTTTTTTTTTTTATTATTATTATTGTATTATTATTATTATTATTATTATTATTATTATTATTATTATTATTATTATTATTATTATTATTATTATTATAATTATTATTATTATTATTATTATTATTGGGCACCCCCCTACATCCTGTGCAAGGTGAAGCGCTTACAGCGCCCATCTGGGAAGCATGCTAAGTTCATACTTGCCTTTATGTCTCATGAGTTAGGGGCGTAGAAGCCTGAAGTCATAGGTTTTTTTTGCCAAGGGCGTAGAAGCCTGAAGAGTCATAGGTTTTTGTCAGCAAGTTATTGGAAGCTGCAACAAGTTTCCCTGAATACGAATTCGCAACTTTTCGATTTACAATAGGTACCTACTTTACTGCTGGGTGAACAGGGACCAAGGGGGGCTAGGAAGTGTGTCCAAACAACTTTCCACCGGCCTGGGAATCAAACCCGTGACATCACGCTTGCGAGGCAAGAGCGGTACCGTTCTACCACTGGCGCCCCCTATTAAGGGTTAATGTACTGTAGCTCAATTTCACATTTGAAAATAATATATAATAACATGTACAGTATATCTAAAGTGTGAGAATTTAATTTTCAGAGTATTTATATGTTCCTATAGTATGATTTACCTTTTCAGAATAAAATTGAGGTTGGAGATGTGATAGATGAAGCTTTTGGGATTTGCATCAATGGTTGGCGTCGAGGTCGGGTCTCGTCTCTCTTACGGCAGAAAAGGGGGCTTCCTGTATCTTTAAAGGTCATCAAAGTAAGGATGTAATATATGATTAATTACCTACCCTGTATACAGTTATATGTATTTTTTTTATGATGAAGGAGTACAGTGATCCCTCGGTTAACGAACAAAAATTCGGTTAACAAAATTCTTACGAAAACATGTCAACATGTTTTCGCTTGCTCATCAGCTGGTAGATTAGTCCGCCAATGCAATAATCGGTTCTAGAGCTTAAATTCGTTCCTATTTGAGTAAATATCAAGAAGGTTGTGCTATTAAATATTTTTACAAGTTTTATATTAAAATTATTAGTCATTTTAACACTTATTTAACATAATTGCAGTACAGGTAACTAGTTTTTGGTGCGCCCATCAGCCATTTCACTCACCCACCAAGGCGTCTGTTTGTGTCTCTGTTCAGTGGAGGTAACATCTTCCTTGTGGCTCTCTTGAACATAAACTATTTTTACAGTACAATTATTGGTCATTCTGAAATTTCTTTAACATACTGATAATATATAGTGCAGTGCAGTGTTGATTTAAATAAAATAATCTTTAATTACAGCAATTAAACTTAAAATTTTAGTGGTAAAATTGCTATTGAATCCAACATGGGTCCAAAGAAATCTAGAAAGGTGATTTCAATCCAGGTGAAACAGGAAATCATAAAGAAACATGAAGAAGGCATTAGAACAATGTGCTTAGTAAAGAATATGGTATGTCGGCCTCAACTGTGTCGACAATTCTTTCGCGAAAGACAAGTTTAAAGAAGTGAAAGTGAGAGACAAATCTACCAGAGTGTTTAAAGGTAGATCCTTAATTTCAGAAACAGAGAGGTTACTTCTCATTTGGATTAAGGAAAAACAAATGAAAGGAGATTCAATTTCGATTGAATTGATTTGTGAAAGAGCCAGGGAAATTACGAACATTTGAAGGAAGAGCAAGCTAGTTCTTCTGGCACAGAGTTTGAAAAGTTTAGGGCCAGCAAGGGCTGGTTTGAAAAATTTAAGAAAAGAAGTGACATTTTCAGTGTTGTTAGGCATGGTGAAGCTGCCAGTGCAGATAAAGAAGGAGCAGCAAAATTTGTAGTGGAGTTTAAGGAACTGGTGGATGAAGATAATTATCTTCCACAGCAAGTGTTCAGTGTGGACGAAACTGGTCTGTTCTGGAAGAAAATTCCCAAAAGGACATTCATCACCAGAGATGAAGCCTCTTTACCTGGGCATAAACCCATGAAGGACCACCTCACTCTATTGCTTGGTACCAATGTTTCAGGGGATTTTCGACTGAAGCCTATGCTTGTCTGCCACTCTGAAATTCCCAGGGTGTTCAAGCAACAAAAGGTGGTAAGAGGACAACTTGGAGTTTATTGGAAGTCCAACTGTAAGGCATGGGTAACAAGACAGCTCTTTAATGAATGGGCTGTTGAGGTGTTTTGCCCTTCTGTGAAGAGCTACCTAACCACCAATAAACTCCCTTTAAAGGCTCTTCTCCTAATGGATAATGCCCCTGGTCATGACCCTGAACTTGCCAGCACTTTGGAGGCTCGATTTGACTTTGTCAAAGTGTTGTTTTTGCCTCCCAACACTACATCAATTATACAGCCAATGGACCAGAATGTAATCAGCAACTTCAAGAAGCTGTACATGAAGAAAATGTTCAGGTGGTGTTATCAGGCAACTTCCACTGATCCTGAACTAATACTGGCACAGTTCTGGAAGACACAATTCAACATCCTGGAGGCTGTAAAATTGATTGTGTCATCATGGCAAGAAGTCTTCATTAGATCCCTCAATTCTGCATGGAAAGCATTGTGGCCATCAGCAGTCCATGATTTTCAGGGATTTGAGGAAGAAGCAGACTTGGACAAGGAGATTGTGTCCATTGGTCAGTCAATGGGCCTCGAAGTGGAGGAGGATGATGTGAAAGAGCTTGTGATGTCTCATGAGCAGGAACTTACTCCTGAAGACTTAAGCAACTGGATGAGATGTTAGAAACTGACAGTGGTGAGGAGGAAAGGGAAAGTGATGACCATATGTCTTCCTCTGATTTAAAAGATGCTGTTCACTACTGGTAGAAGTTCAGGAAACTGGCTTCAAGGCACCCTGATGTGGAAACAACAGAACCTATTTTGTGTAATGTTGAGGACAAAGTGGTCTCCTTCTTCAAAAATCAGTTAATGATGAGGAGGAGAAATGCCCCACAAAGAAAATTTGACAGTTTCTTCTCTAAAAGGCAGTGGGAGAAAGATGCCACCCCTCAGCCTTCCACTTCAAAAAGGAGATAGGATTTTCCTACTGGAGAATCTGTCAGTCCAGAGGTTCCTGACATTTTTATGGAAGGTGACTCGCCTTCCAAGAAGCAGTAAAATGCTTTTCCTCCACCCCCACTTCCTTCTCTTCTCCCTTCTCCTCCACCTCCCACTTCAAATTCACATCAGCATCATCAACCAGGAGCCTTCTACATACACACCTCAAAGTAAGTGTACTTTACTGCTCTTTTTTTTTTTTTTTACTTTGTATGCAATTTTTGGTGAGCTGGAACCAATTACTCAAAATCCCATTGAAACAATGGTTTCGGTTAACGAACGACCCTCTGGAACAAATTGAGTTCGTTAACCGAGGGACCACTGTATTAAGGTTTTGGTAGTACAGTACAGTATATAACAGGACAGATTAAACCTCATGATTCATCATTACTAGCCACTGTTTTGGTGAATACAGTCATTGTTCTATGAGAACAGTTTATGTTATTAAAAGTCATAAAATTAATTTTAAATTACATAAATAAATTGTAATACAGTATTAAAGTAATTTAATTACAAGTTTTTAAGGTAACAATAAAAAGGTAAACTTGTGATATAAATTTAATTACAATATTTCATTTTGCTAATTTTTTTAACTGTTATATGTAATTTTAACTGTTTTATGTCAAAAATAATTTAGATAGTTGCCACAGTATCTTGAGGATATTAAATACACTTACCTAAATAATGATAAGTGAAAATGACGATCATTTGACTTAGTCTGGCTCTATGCTACAACATCCACACATATGTGCATCATACAGACGTAAGTCATATGACATTCGGACACAATAGGTGTGTCAGTTTAAGCTCAGTGGCTGCCAGAGTGCTGAAGTTTGTTACTAAAGGTCTTAACCCCCAACGCCCCGTGCTAGGGTGGCGCCGACCGTATCCCCCACGCTGGGTAAAACAAGAAAAATAAACTTCCAAAAATAATTTTTAACCTTTATATATTATAAAACAATCAAAAAGACGTAAGACAAACTATATATTGTCCCTCTAGAAACTTCCGTGGCACCTCAGTGACGAGGGAAATAAGGGGAAAGGGTTTTTTATGGCGAGCACTCGCAGTCACTATGCACTTAGGGGTAGTTTTTCCGCTTGCCTTTGTGTCCGAGATGGCCAATGATGGATATATTTACTGATCATATATTTCCTATAAATAATTCATTTAGAATGTATTTTTTTGCATTACTTTTCATAAAAAGTGCTCGGCGACACACACAGTCTGTTGTCAGGCTGTCTGGCTGTCTTTGTGTTTGGTAGAGCAAGTAATACATATAAATACTTATTGGAATAATAATTCCACAAATACATTTATATCATAATCATAACATTATTTTCCAGTAATACAGTACTACACTACAATACAACTACACTTTAAGCAATAATACTTTGATACAACATGATAAAATGGCCATCTCGGACACAAAGGCAAGCGGAAAAATTACCCCTAAGTGCGTAGTAACCGCGAGTGCTCGCCATAAAAAATCCTTTCCCCTTATTTCCCTCGTCACTGATTGGTTCTACATAATTTTAAAACTGTAAGAAAATAAGACCCCGGCTGTAGCTGTGGTAAAATTAATGTAGAAAAATTAATATGGTTGTTTTAAGTAATGTTATCTAATGTTAATAAATGGAACAATGGAAGTAGCTAACCATTAATGGTAAAGAAAAAAGTGAGACTGCGCACATGTGAAAACATTTCTTCTTTACTCTACATAAGAATATGAAAGCAACACTTATTTACTGTTCATAATGTTTCTGAATTTCTTTTTGATTGAATTATTGTTTATGTGTGCAAAATGAACAATATAATTCATTAATAATGCGTAGAATATTAAAACACATGAGGAGACGAGACGGCATTGTTTTTGTTGTTTACAAAACCAGTGACTGATTGGTTCTACATATGAAACTGAAGAAAATAAGACCCCGGTTGTAGCTGTAGTAAAATTAATGTAAAAAAATTAATATGATTGTTTTAATTAATGTTATTTAATGTTAATAAATGGAACAATGGAATTAGCTAACCATTAATGGTAAATAAAAAAGTGAGATGGCGCATGTAAGAGCACATGTGAAAATATATCGTCATTACTCTACATAAGAATATGAAAGCAACAAAAATTCTACCCACCAGAGGTGGTAAAGTTGAAAACATAAGGACAGCCAATGTTGTTGTTGTGTGTGTTTTTACTTGGAAGACGAAGTTGTATTTAAATTTGGAAGATTTTAATTTTGTGGGGTTTTTACAGTCTAAATGGGTATCCAAATATGAGAGCCTTCTGTAAGTAGTTGTCCAAATATGAGAGCCTACTTATAAAGAAACAAACATTCCTGTGCTTTGAGACCAGCAGACAACCTTTAGCAATTCCTCAATAGATGGTGCTGCCGCACCACTGCCATTAGTAAGCAAACCACACAGCAGCAAGGGTTTATTTTATATTTTTTTGCAATATATCAACAATATTAGTTAAATAAATAGTTTTATAGTACTGTACAGAGAATACTTGTAATTGTTATGTACTGTAATGAGGTGACAGTCTTTGTAAGGGGCTGATTTTAGTTGATCCTAAGAAAACCTCTGCTACAACTATCAACTAACGTCCTGGAAGACGCATGGTATTTTTCAAGGTATATTTTTGTCATAAAAAGTGCGTCTTTTAAGCCGAAAAATACGGTACTTACCCAGAAACTTCCCTGTGGCCGAGTGTGGAGTTAGGAGTGAGAAGGTGTTGGTGGTGGTGCGAGGCAGTGGTGCTTCCCTGACGCCTCGAGGCGACCGATCGTGAGAGGAACGACTCTCCATGGGGACAGGCTAATGCCTACTAACCGCACTGAGCTCACCCACACTACCCTGTGAGTGGTGTGCCGAGTGTGGAGTTAGGAGTGAGAAGGTGTTGGTGGTGGTGCGAGGCAGTGGTGCTTCCCTGACGCCTCGAGGCGACCGATCGTGAGAGGAACGACTCTCCATGGGGACAGGCTAATGCCTACTAACCGCACTGAGCTCACCCACACTACCCTGTGAGTGGTGTGACCACTAAATAGTCATGCTGGAACCTGATAACCCACCCTGGGTATTCAAGCAATGGTGCACAAAGGCGCAAGTTCTGGAACGTCAACTGGGGCATGCTGGATGGACGTTCCGGAACGTCAACTGGGGCGTAAGGGTTAAAAACTGATGTAAGTAATCATCAGTCACCTTATAATGGAACTTTGATTTCATCTTTGAGAAGGTCTGTTTACAGGTTTTGGTAATAATAAAAACTGCCATCATATTTGTGGCAAGTCTCCTTGAAATATGGAAGGGTGAGTCTGGAAGGCATTAGCAAACTTTGGTCATATCACTGGTGTCAAAGGATTCATCAGTGCATCATTGTATTGCAAATTGGCCAGGTTTATCTGATAAATTTCTGTTGCCTCATCTATTTCAACTCCAGTAACCGAGATGGTGGCAGGATGGAGGTGACCTATAGGCCATAGGTTGTTGACCACAATTGTAAGGCACTGACATGGTGTGCTTATACTGTATAATTACTTTGGTCATCTGCTCACCTACAACCACATATCAGCATTTCAAGATTAATTCTCTTTTTAGGAAAATATTACAGACCGGGTATTTAAGAAATTTTAATTTAGATAATTGGAGTTACATCTTTTATCTACCATATGTAGATAATGGCCTTATGTTGTTCTTTTATCTCCATTTTTTTTTTGTATCTGCAAGGTGTAGGGGATATTATAATATGGTGATGTTTGTGTCACTATAACCAAATACAAAGTAAAATATTTTAAGTTTGGTGGTTGTGTTATTAGAAAAACACAAAACATAAACTACCTCATAAAACTTTTGTATTAATCCTCCTTCCTATCATTCAGGGTCACTATGCCAATGGTTCTGTATTCCCTGGAGTGGTGCCTCTGCTTCGACGGCTTCATCTGGATGTGGATAGTCTTCAGGAACAATTTCGAGAAGTTGCTCTAGCTGAGAGCCAGGAGACATCACTTACTAATAACCAGCTTGGGTAAGGTGTATTTGTACTTTTCATCAGGGACATGTAAAGTTGGGAAATATATTCTACCTCATATTGCTGTGGCTAGTGGAGATGTCTGGCAACTCTTTCGTAGTAATAAACAGAGCACATAACAAACCTTTATGACTGAATCAGCTTTGAACTGTATTGATGATGGTGTTTGGATGAAACCAGTTGCTTAAACTTATTTTTATAATCAATTTCTTATTTTTGCTTTTGATTCATAAAGGTTTGCTACATGGTCTGTTTACAATACAAGAGTTGTCGGATGTCTCCACTGGCCACAGCAATGTGAGGCATATATTTTCCCCAACTGTACCTGGTCAAACAGCTGGGTCTTCACAAGTCCATATCTTGACTCAATTTTCAATACAGTACATTTTATTAGTCACTGGGTTAGTGGTGAGTTGGATTCATAGTGTGTCAGGGTCAGCAGTACAGGTATCCCTCGTTATCTGAATGAGTTAGGTTCTTTGAATAGCACTCAGATAGTGAATTTTCAGATAGCAGATAACAGAACCAATGGTAAAAAAGGCTTCTGTTCCCCAACAAGAAAACTCCAATATTAGACCTAAAAAAAATAAAAAATTGGTTCATGAACAATAAAAAACTACATAATTATTGTACTTTAGTACTGTTTATAACTACTGTATGTTGATTGCTAAATAAAATAAAATATATTGTACAGTAGGTACATAACATTTTTGAAGGGTGGTCAAAGCTCACCATGGGGGGGTGAGGAGGGATGGGGTGTTTTGAATATGAAAATGTGATTGGACCATCTTTCAGATAAACAAGGATTGCCTTTGGATTGTGAAAAAAGAAATTAGAATAATATTTTCAGATAGTGAACATTTGGATAATGAGGGATATCTGCACACTGATGTCCTGAACTGAAGAGAAGGCATGTGGTTCCTAGAAAAGGGAATAGGCTTGCTTGCTAGACAGATCTAGGAAATGCATTTGTAGGGAAACTGGTGACCTGTGATATCAAGCTGGCTTATTTTTTATTTTGTGAGTGTTTAGACAGCCCTTCATGTCAATGAAGCAGTGGTATTAAGATAAAGCAGGAATTACAAACCTGGAAAGATTTTTTCGAAAGTAATTACCCGGTAGTACAGTACAGTGTTCTTATTGTTAGATGACTTGAGAGGCATTTCTGCATCTTGCAGTGAATAACAGAGAAGATTGTTGAAATAGTGATTTTGCTTTCTCCTGTATGATCATCAATCTCATGAGCATATTCCATTAACCTTGTGATAAATCTAAACTCTTTAGAATTACTCCATATTATCTCTCACCTTATCTTTGTTGTTTGTTATTCTAACAGCACTTTATTGGGTAGTGTATTGCATTGATTTTTTTTCTTCAGCATTATCGTGTATTTTTTTCTCCATTGTAATTGGTAAGCTAAATGCCCTGCTGATGTCCACTGCTCGTTCTTCATTACCAAACTCAGTCAGCCTCTATGTATCTTAATGGGCATATGTGTATACCTGTAACCCCTAGACTTCTATCTGTTTACACTAATCACTGCTTGGTTTTTATATCTACAATACTGAAATATACGTACCTAAAAATTTATGAGAATATATAAACACAATAAAGCTGCCAACAGCTGTATATGGTACACTTTTTTTTGCAGGGGTCAGACAGTACAATACTTGGGAAGTGTGTCTGTGGGTGGCTCAGGAGACGTGTCACAGATAGAGCATGCTGTTACTGCAGTTTCCACTCAAAATAGACGACCTGTTGCTGTCACACTGATCACAGGAGAAATTGGTGTTCAGACCTTGTTAAAAACCAACAGAAAGGTAAAGTACTGGACTATACTGTCATTTTTATTGTAATCTAAGGAATTACACATTTGATCAGGGCTCCCTTATGTTCTAAATATGTTTTACATACAGTGTAGTCTGGATTTACGCTGTCAGTTGAACCCGTGGAGGTTCGCGTAAAACGAGAAACGCGTAAATGAAATAACAGAACATGTGGGATTAATTGAAATAGAGACTGTGCCGACCCCCCAAACTCCACATTTTCCGACACAATACGTACGTTGTAGTAAAAATAACATCTGAATTTTATAATGGTATGCACACACAATTAATAATTAAGCGAAATATCAATAACATTAGGTTTTTTAACACTTACGTTAGTAGAAAAGCTGGGTCGGCACACGTGGATGGCGGCTGGTTCAGAGGCAGAGGGCAGATTAGTTGCCCTCTGGTGAATCACTTTCACTTTCACTACTCGCAGAGGTTTGCAGGGCCACCCAGACAAACCTCTCAAAGTCCGTATCCTCACTGTCACTATCACTGACTTGGGCTGGCTGTGGTTGTGGTGGGTTGCGGGCGAGGAAGTCCTCAATACTACGTTGACGACTAGCATTGATGTTGTCGAGATAGATCTGGATATACGGCTCCATAACTTTTGACAGATGGTTATTAGACACTTCATACCAATGCATGTCTGGGTCGTTGTCAAAGATGAGCTTAATTTTCTCCCCCAACTCGATGATTTCCTTCACATTATCATGACTTGGTCCAGGTTCAAGGTTTTTCTCGGCTGGTGGGGGTCCCGTGGAAGCCATTGTGAGGGTAATAGCTGGCACAAGAGAGAACTGTATACGCGGACTTAGAACAATGAGACAGGCCCGGCTAGGTCAGCGACTTCTACCCTCTGGTGGCAGGGCACGTCATGTTACATTAGACCAATCACAGCTAGCGGCGGAGGGAATGCGTGGGTGGTAAGGATGTGTGGCCCAATCACAGTCCGATACGTCATATGACGTCAGCGATAACGTAAGAGCGACCTAATGCGCACCGCTCACCGCACCGCTTCCCGCGTATGGTCAAGAATGGACTGCGTGAGTAAAAAATGGCGCGGCGCGTCTGCACCTCTCCAGCCGCTCGCCGCATAAATGATGAAATTTACCGCGTAATTAAAACATTTCATTCTGGCAAGGCACCGCGTAAATGACCAAACGCGTAAACAAAAACCGTGTAAATCCAGACTATACTGTAGTACATTTGTCTTCCTGTAAAACAAGAAACTTGGCAGGGCTGTGCTAATTCTTATTCATAATTGTTTCAAGTTATTTTCTTGTACATTTCTCATACTTCAATTTTGTTTGATAAATATGTATGGTTGTTCATTTTCAATGTTAGTTACATATGGTACTTGTATAGAGAATGGTTGATAAGGAGAAGATGGAGCATGTAGCAGGTATAAATGTATGTATAATGTGGATGCACAGTTAAATGGCTGCAAGACTGAATTTGACTTAAGGGAGTGGCATAAATGTAGAGGACAAAATGCAAGTGGTGTTGGTGCATGGACTTCATGCCCTTTGGAACTTCATGAGGTTGGTTTCTATTACTTTTATTTTTGAAATATGTAACGTGACTAGCAGTATCTGTGTGAAGTGTGATGTTGAGTTGAATTAGCATGTGGATCTTCTTTATCCCTTACAATTTTCTCTTTTTTAGCTGTGTGGATGTACACTCTCAAAAAAGTATCGGCCCCTTTTCTCATTGATACAATGTGTCACAATGGACGAATATTTCCGATCACTCATTGTGATTCCTGAATTATGTTGGTAGGCTTGCCTTCCTAGTATCCGTGAGGTTGTCAGTTATTATTTCGGCCACTTGTTGTAATTATAGTGAATCACCATGCTTTTTTCTTTAATAGAATAATATAATGATATTTATGGGGCAAAAATATATCAACGGCAGTCAAATAGTGGGTGTTTTCTGCTGGAAATCCATGACCAACACTAGTACCCGAGACTCATTGGAAAACACAGCTTGCACCGACAGACATGGAGAAATGTCACTTTCCGAATACAGGTTGACAATCCCTTATCCGAAATCCTTGGGGCCAGGGGCATTTCGGATTTCAGAATTTTTTGGTTTTCAGAATGGTTAGTTTTTTTTTTTAAACTCACCCGGGCATAGATCACTGACCCACATCAGAACCCGGGGGGCGAAAATATAATAAAAATTATAATAATAATAATAATTCATAGGTCTAGGTCGTGTTTCTCACTTTTGATCTTTTTTTCATTCTTGTATTTCTTTATTATTATTATTATTATTATTATTATTTTATTATTACAATATTATTGTTGTTATCATTAATTTTATTATTATATTTTATTATTATTATTATTATTATTATTGTTGTCATTATTATTTTATTTTGGTGTATTTTTATTAAAAATTTTATTTACTATGAATAATTATTATTATTATAATTATTATTACTATTACATTTTCGCCCCCCAGGCCCTGATGTGGGTCAGTGATCTATGCCCGGGTGGGCTAATCCCTGGTAAAAAAAAAAAAAAATAAAAAAATAAAATAAATAAATAAAAAAGCCCCCCACAAAAAAAACTTTCGGTTTTTAGAGCTTTTCGGTTTTCGGAATTTCGGATAAAGGGTTGTCAACCTGTAACAGTACAGTCTCTCCTCGACTTACAACATGTTCGACTTACGACAACCCGGACATACGACTGCCATGGTCGTATAAAATATTTTTCACATTACGTATTTTTGAGTCCCTATGTTAGTTATCGCGCTGTGTACTGACAAAATTTTTGTTTGTAACTCCCTTTAAAATGGCTGGCAAGCGTAAAAGTGAAGAGTTCTCGTGGTGCTGAGAAGAAAAAGAGACACCTATTTTAGAATTTCTATGTATTATTTTCGGTTTTTCGACCTACGACTTGGTCGTCGGGACGGAACCCCATCGTAAGTCGAGGAGAGACTGTACCTATAAATCAATGTTAGCTATCTCCTTGTTGCTTAGGCATATGTCATGAAGGGCGATGATACTGCCTCTAGCTGCCTGTGATGCCTCCATAGTGACTGTCAATCCCATGGGAGGACTTTGCTACATCATTTTGTAGTGGTATCAGATAATGTTGTATTGCCAGCACAAGTCATGAGATGATACCTTATATTCATAATTGTTGTCTAATCAATTAGGTAGAAATAATATTGAAATGCAGTCAATCATAATATCATTGTAATTGGATATGACATCATATTACACCTGTAATTACTGTATTTGCAAATGAATGTAATATCGGATCATAGTGATTCATATTTCATTTTAAGTGATTCCATTGTAACCTCGGTTCATGAAAACATAGTAATGCTTTATTTTTCTATTTGGCAACCCATCCCCTGGGGCTGAAATAGTATCTAAGGTGCATAAATCAGCAGGGTTATTCATGACATTATGTATAGAATAGGTGGTACAGTATTTTCTCGATTTAACGAACTAATTCGAGCCACCTCTTTCCATTAATCAAAATTTCCACTAAATTGAATTTCCATTTTAGCTCGATTTAATAGTGTCATTCAATTAAATTCCACGCTAAATGCGCCGTTTGGCGTGTGGGGTTCGTTTACATCCTTTCAGTCTTTGTCCTGCCACCACTGTGTGTGTTCTCTGCTACCACTCGGTCTACATCTCAGTCAACTAACTACAGTAGGATCTCAAGTTTCGTGACTAATTGGTACCGGTTTTAGCGTCACGAAACTTAAAATTGCGAAACAAGTGATGTTGAAATACTGTTCATGTAAATAAGTCTAATCGGTTCCGCGTTGCCACCCGTACCCCCTAACGACTTACAACCCAGCAAGATAATGACATTACTGTAATGTATTCTTACATATTTATATTGTACATATTGTTGATAACAATATTTATATACACTCATACTGTAGAATAACTTACCTTGATGGAGTCAGTGAAATGCTTGACGGGGCTGGTTGATGGGTTCCGAGGCAGGGAGGGCTGGTTACTGCTTCCTCCCTGCTCCCTCATTGACACCTCCTCTAACCTCAGCATCAAATCCCTCAAAGTCTTGATGTAGCTCTTCCACCAGCAAGTCACCCAACACTTCAAAAGCATCATCGGTGGTGCCATCATCATCTCTTAGGCATTAACAGGCAGGCTGGGCCTTGCACGAGTAATAAGGGCCTGCTGATGAGCATTAACACAGGACATGTACAAGGCTGTATATTCCTCTACAACCTTATCAATGACAGGGCAGATATGGTTCTGAGCATGAGGCCTGGTATCGTATTCTTCTAGCTGTTCACTGAAACGTGCAAGGGTTGTGAGCATCTCAGACAGCTGGTGTGTGGTAGGTTCACCAGGCTTAACATGAGTCACCCTCTGGTGTTGATTGCCGTTCTTCATCCTCCTCCAACATTTCTTCAATTGTCAGTTGCTGCTGATTTTGACCAATGATTTCTTGCAAATCTTCAACCTAAACCTCCGAAAATCCCGGTGCTGGGATTGATCGTGCTGCTTCGACCGTGTCCATGGTCTGCCTCTCCCCGCTTGCCTCGGTCTGCTCTGCCCCACTTACCTCAGAATTAGTGGACAAAGGCTTCTATGCGTGTAGCACTATTGCAACATTAATATTACACCATGCCTCAACAATTCTGTCCACTGCATTTTTAATCTTATATTTCTTCCAAAATTCACAAACTGATAACACTTCAAGGTTGAGGGGTGGTGTGTGTGAGGTGTTAGAAGTCGGGTTGCCTACCATCTCCTCCTCCTCCTCCTTCTCCTTCTCCTTCTGGTTAGCTGGTGCTGGTAGAGCCTGGTCACTGTCAGAGAGTTCTGCCTTGATTTGTTGTGACTCAACTAATGAGTCTGTCTGCTGACGAAAGTCTTTATAGAATGACTGATTGGTGAACAGTTTAACGTTACTGATAAATTCATGGTCTAGTGGCTGCAGATGCCTCCATTTTACAGTGTTTAAATATGAGGACAGGATAATTATTGACAATATTTTCATAGACTTATAAGTGCTTGTGATGTTTTATATGGATAAAAACCAAAATTTTTTGGGTTACAGACAGTCCTGAATCACAGCTACACTGAAATCTCATCTTGTGGCAGAAGGAATGATATGCCTGATTATTTTGCATATATTGCTGGGTAAGTTTTTACTATGACAAATTTTCACCACAAATTTAAATAAGTATTTTAAGAACTTGTAACAAAAGTGAAATAATTAAAGACGGGTAGAAATAATGATTTCATGGAAATTGAAAATATTTAAGATCATTTTGAAAAACAAGCAGTTTCCTGAGGATTGGAAGATGGCTGTTGTTGTCCTCTCGTAGACAGACAAATGAAGGAAGAACAAGGGAAGTTTTGGGAAATTATATAGGAAAGTTTTGCGAAAGTACCGTATTTTGCGGCATAGAAGACGCATTTTTTATTACAAAAGTATACAGTACCTTGAAAATTACCATGCGTCTTCCACGACGCTAGTTGATGGGTTGTAGCGGAGGTTTTCTTGGGGTCAACTGAAATCAGCCCCTTACAAAGACTGTTACCTCATTTCTTAGCAATTACTATAAAACAATTGATTTAACTAATATTGTTGATATACTGCAAAAAATATGATTATTTACTTCCTCAGTAGGTAAAAAATAAACGGCTGCAGCTACACAACCCTTGCTGCTGTGCGGTTTGTTTACTAATGGCAGTGGTGCAGCAGCGCAATCTATTGAGGAATTGCGAAAGGTTGTCTGCTGGTCTCAAAGTGCAGGAATCTTTGTTTCTTCACACTTGTTTACAATTGCTTACCTTCTACTGATGGAAAATATTTCTCATCATTGTCATACCGACAAAATCAAGAGAACGAATGTAATCACTACAGCCCGCTAGATGCGAAGGTGACCAGGTGTAGAAAATGAGTGCTATATTAAAGATTTCCACTTCTTATACAGATTATTTATTAAAAATTGATGAAAATGACTACTGATAAGCGGTTCTAAGTGATGATATTCAAACAGGTGTGTGTACTTGTGCCAAAAGGGCTGTTTATCAAGCAACGGTTTCACTGGTGTCGGTTAGTAATTATAAAAAGATTTTTCCTAGAATTACATTTCCAAAATCAGGATGCGTCTTCCACGATGCAGCGTCTTCTATGCCGCAAAATACGTATACCATATAGGAAGTTGTGTGTGAAAACGATGACCATGTATGAAGTACAGAAATGCATTAAAGGCTGTCAAGAGCTTTTGCATATGAAGAAATATATTGTATGTGTGGGAATCAATTGTGGTGTGAATGAATGGTTTAAAATAACTTAGGGAGTTCACTAAAGGTGTAGGATATCATCCAGGATATATATGCAGTATACAATAATATCTTTATGGATGGAGTAATATGAGAAATAGATATAAGGAGAGTGACTGTGGAATGGAACAGGCATGGTGAAGCAGACTGAGAATATTCACATTTATGGTTTGTAGGTGGTGCTGTGCTGTGGGAGAGTTAGTTGAAATGATAGTATTTATTTATGGATTTTGCAAGAGAAGAATAATAAAGTTAAATTCTGGATATAATTTTTGTGTGTGTGTTACTATGAATAGAAAAGACTAGAAGGTTGACATTGACTTCAGGTATTTGGAAACAATGTTCAACATTTAAAGAAATAAAAACTGAAGTTATTAATTAATGAATGCATGGGAAAAGAACAAAAAAGAACCAAGAGAGCAATGATTAATGGGAAGAGTTGAATGTACAGTGTGCGAAGAGACTACATGAAGAAGTGCCTATTCCATATCTTATCTATCAATGTGAAACTGAGGGAACTCCTGTAAAGAGGTAAACAGTGCTGTCTAATATCCAATTACTTGTACACTTAACTCAGAATTATTTATATAAGATTGACCAAAATGTAGTAACAGTCACCATGGAATTATCCAGCATCAGTTAAATACTGTACCTGAAAATTATAATTTAAATGTTTTTTCAGGGACACCAGCTGCTCCATATCATCACATTTTACCTGCTATGTCTTCAGGGCAGCAACAGTGGAACAAGTAAGACTTTTAAAAATACTTTATACAATTATACAATACATTTGTTTCTGGCAACTACAGCATAACCTTAAAATTCGCGGGGGTTAAGTTCTCAAAATGGCTGCAAATAGCCATATCCACGAATAACATTTGCTGACCGGGGGGGATGCTACATTTTTACTCGCATGCAAAGAAATGTATATTCCTTTTATGTGTTTGCCCTTGGGACAATTATTTCTTTTACCTGTACAGTGGTCCCTCAGTTAACGAACGGTTCGATTAACGAATTAGCTCCCATAAAGATTTTCAGTTCAATTAATGAACAAAACTTCGATTACCGAAATCCTTACGACAAACACGTTTTGTTTTGCGCATCAGCTGATCGGCTAGTCTGCCAATACAGTAATTGGTTCTATGTTTACATTCGTTTCCAGTGGAGTAAATATCAAGAAAGTTGTGCTCTTGAATATTTCTGCATTTTTTATACAGTATTAAAATTATTGGTCACTCTGAAATTTAGTTAACATATTGATAATGTAGACAGTACAGGGAACAGTTTTTGTGCACCCATCAGCTGATTGAATCACCCAACAACGCTTCTCAGTTTAACTTTGTTTACAGTGGTATTACAATAATATTCTATCCAAATTCACTTGTGATGCAACAGTTTTTTTAACTGAAAACCATTCGAAAAGCGATTACGGTAACATCTTTTGAACGAAAGAAAGCGAAAGTCATTGTTTTCGTCACGATTTTATCCCACTTTCCACTGTAATACGTACGTCATTTCAGCAAAAATATTACATTTCTGTGAATGTAGTATATCAAGCACAGTATGAATAGAATATCATTGTAATATAACAGTATTTTAACCGAAAACTATTAAAAAAACGAGTAACATCTCTTGAACATTGGAAGGTTAGGTAAAGTCTTTTGTTTTCGTCATGTATTTTATCCTATTTTACATTGAAATACATCACGTTTCAACAAAACTACTATTTATTTCTGAGAATATATTCATTCAGGCACAGTTTAGGTAAAATATACATGTGCTGTAACATTTTTTTAATTGAAAACGATTCGAAAAACACGTACCCTCTAGCCCTGTTCAAGGAGAAGACTGGGAGGAGCTGTTTGGTGCTTAAGACGATGACAAGGAAAATGATTTTGATGGATTTTAATGAAAATATTCAGAAAGACCCTGGCACTGTCAAGGAAAGTGGCTGCTGAAGGCTTCCAGGACATGGCAGAGGACGAGATTAGGGAGCTAATTGAAGAGCACGACACTGAGCTGACCGAGGAGGATCTACAGGAGTTAGTAGACTCAGGCAAGGAAGAGGAAGCGAAAGGGAAAGAGGATGAGGAAGAGGAAGAGCACCAAGAAATAACGTTGGAGAAGTTGGGGGAGATGACCAGGAATATTGAGGCCTGAAAAACCTGGCCTATAGTATGGACCCCTCCATGGTGCGTGCCCTGAAATTCATGCGAGGAATGGATGACGTTTTTGCTCCAAACAAAAACATCATGGAAGAAATGAAAAGAAAGAGACGACAACTCCCCACCACCATGTTCTTTGATCACCGAAGGAGAGATTTAACACCATCAATCACTGGCGGCAGTGAGGAAGCAGCTGAATCCACCGTCGCCCCCACTTCACCACCCGTTATGGAATTGAGTAACGATGAGCCCGATGACCCCCGTCCTGTTGCCGAGGATAGGTACGGTAAAGTAAAGTGAAATTTTCATATGTTTTTTTTTAATAGCTTTTCTTGCCATGTTTATTGTTTGTAAAAATGCACAGCACAGTACAGTTCAGTTCTGTACATAGGAAGTGGAGGTGCAGTTATTCACAAAACATTTGTGTTTGTTGTCGGCAGTAGTGACGGTGAGGAGGTGGAGGAGGCAGAGGAAGGAGCGGAGGGAGGGAGTTGGGAGGAGTGGTGACCTTGGACGCGGGGCAGGGACAAGTGGAGATGTTAGCCAGTACATTGCGGGTGTATTAATTGTTTTTATAGCTATTTTTGCATTTTAATATTAAATACTGTACATTACGTTTCAACAAAACTACCATTTATTTCTGAGAACATGGAAATGTAATATTTTTGCTGAAATGATGTACCGTAATCGCTTTTCGAATGGTTTTCAGTTGTGGGATTATAAGGCTAATGATAGGATAGAATATTATTGTAATACAGTACGAGTACAACAGTTTTTAACTGAAAACTGTTCGAAAAGCGATTACGGTAAAATCTTTTGAATAACGAAAGAAAGCGAAAGTCATTGTTTTCGTCATGATTTTATCCCACTTTCCACTGTAATATGTACGCCATTCCAGCAAAAATATTATATTTCCATATTTATTTCTGAGAATACGTATATTCATTCAGTCAAAGTTAAGGTAAAATATACTTGCGATGTACAGTCGGCCCTTAACATACGCGGGGGTTACGTAACAGAGATACCCGTGGATGTTAAAAATCCGCGTATATGTCCCCCCCCAAAAAAAAAAACCTGGCCCCCCCCATGTCCTTATTTACCGTATATACCTGTGTGTAGTTCGAGTTTTTAAGACCAAATTATTTGGCAAAAAATTGGGGGTCGACCTCTAAAAGGGTAATAGTTTCGTTAGGTTGAAAAATATTTACCAGTAACTACCAGTAAACAATGGAAATGACGCACCAACGCACCACCAGCTGTGAGTGTCGGTACATTCGCCAGGGCAGATCTCTTGTGTCATCATAGCAAGCCCAAAGTAGCCAAATCCATGGTATGGTAGCACAGGACGATGTAAAACATAAAGTATTCATTTATTAAAGTGTATTTATAGATACTGTACATAAAATTTTTTCATTACATTTGAAACATCAATCTTTGTTAATTAAATTTGAAACAAAAGAAAACTATGATACCGTATTTTCATTAAAATATTACATCACAAGTATATTTTACCTTAACTGTGACTGAGTGAATATACGTATTCTCAGAAATAAATATGGAAATATAATATTTTTGCTGGAATGGCGTACATATTACAGTGGAAAGTGGGATAAAATCATGACGAAAACAATGACTTAAGCTTTCTTTCGTTATTCAAAAGATTTTACCGTAATCGCTTTTTGAATGGTTTTCAGTTAAAAAATTGTTGTACTTGTACTGTATTACAATAATATTCTATCCTATCATTAGCCTTATAATCACCACAACTGAAAACAATTCGAAAAGCTATTACGGCAACATCTTTTGAACAAAAGAAAGAGAGTCATTGCTTTCGTCACAATTTTATCCCACTTCCACTGTAATACGTACATCATTTCAGCAAAAATATTACATTTCCATGTTCTCAGAAATAAATGGTAGTTTTGTTGAAACGTAATGTACAGTATTTAATATTAAAATACAAAAATAGCTATAAAAACAATTAATACAGTTAACCCTCACTTTACGGGGTTAATGTAACCCGGAGGGTCCCGCGTAAAGTGAGGAACGCGTAAGTGAATAACATAACATATGGGATTAATTGAAATGGAGTCCAGGCCGATCCCCAAACTCCACTTTTTGACGACACACAACTATGTTGTAGTAAAAATTTTATCTTAACTTTATGATGGTATGAGAAAACAAGTAATATAGAAGAGGTTAGGTTAGGAAAGATAAAGGTTAACATAGGAAAAATAAAGGTTAGGTTAGAAAACTAAAAATTAGGTGTAACACTCACGGTAGTAGAAGAGATGGGTCGGCATACGGGGATGGAGGCTGGTTCCGAGGCAGAGGGCAGATTACTGGCCCTCAGGTGAATCACCATTACTAGGTGAATCACCATCACTGTCACTTACAGTTGTCAGGGCTTCTCTGACAAATCCCTCAAAGTCACCTTCACTGTCACTATCACTGGCTTGGGCTGGCTGTGGTGGGTTGCGGGCGAAGAAATCTGTTATGCTTTGCTGACGGCTGGCGTTGATGTTGTCGTGATACACCTTGATGTACGGCTCCATAGCCTGCACCTGCCGGGTATGGAAGACTTCATAGCGGTCATCGTCATTGTCGCGGGAAAGGAAGGACTTCATCTTCTCTGCACACTCCATGGCACCCTTAATATCACTATGACTTAAATTGTGTTCTTCGGAGAATGACGCACCTTCTTCCTCCTCTTCACTGACGTGTTCTTCTTCCAACATCTCGTCGGCAGTCACTTCAGGATCTCTGATCACCTCCAGGATGTCGTCGTTGGTGGTCTCGGAGAAGCCTGGAACTGTAACAGTCTGCGCAGCTTCTCTGGCAAGGTCCACTGCTACTGCAACATTCTGAACCTCACCAGTCACAGATTGACTCCTCCTCTCACCTGGTATTCCATGCAACACATGTCTCCATGCGTGACGAATTGTAGCAATAGACAGCTGATCCCATGACTCCACCAAGAAGTCCACAGCTTTCTTGATGTTAAATACTCTCCAGAATTGTTTGAAGAGTATTTTTTGCTGTTCTAACTGTTGATCCTCATCTTCTTCGCTCTTGCTATCGGTGGTGGTGTCACTCAGGTTACGCAACTCTTCCCTGGTGTTGGTGTAGTCGTTCAGGAGCTGGAATTTTTTTGTTGAGAATGCAGCTTTCACATTGCAAATCAACTCCTGGTCCATGGGCTGGATTAAAGACGTAGTGTTGGGAGGAAGGAAGACCACTTTTACGTTGGGGTGACGATCTAACAGTAGGGGCGAGTGTCCTGGTGCGTTGTCCAGCAGCAACAAAATATTAAATGGGACATTCTGTCGCTCACAGAATTTCTTTACATCGGGAACAAAACAGTCATCAAACCAGGAGAGGGACAGTGTAGAGAACATCCATGCCTTACGTGCGGTCAGCCAGTGGACATTTAGCTTGGTCATGTCCATGCTCTTGTAGGCGTGCGGCTTGCGGGCTGTGTGGATCACCGATAACTTGAGCTTACAGGTACCGGAGGCATTGGTGGTAAACAGGACGGTGATGCGTTCCTTCTGCATTTTCCGGCCCCGAATCCTGCTGGCATTCTTCACAACGAAGGACTTGGAAGGTAGTTTTTTCCAGAAAAGACCAGATTCGTCCATGTTAAACACCTGGTCGTCACTGTACTGTCCTTCCTCCATAATCTCACGTAAAAACGGAGGAAATTCCCGAGCCGCAGCACGATCAGCACTCGCTTCTTCACCACCAATGTTTATATTGGTGATCTTGTTCCGGATCTTAAACCTCTGTAACCACCCAGAGGAAGCATTAAAGGGTTTGGGCTCTGAAGTTCCCATCTTTCGTGCCACTGCCATGTACAGTTCACGTGCGTAGTCCTTAACAGAGCGCGTGTCGACCGCCATGTTCCGTCGCGCCTGACGCACCAAGTACCTCACAAGTAATTTTTCTGTCTTGAGAAACACCTGGCTGTGAAAATACTTGATCATAGAAGCACCTGTAGACTTTGTGATCTTCATGTGCTCCTTTATCTTGGCTGAATCCTTCTTTATAGTCCGGATCGTAGATTCGTTCACGCCATGCTGGCGCGCCAAATCAACCTGCCTTGTTCCTTTCTCCAACTCTTGGATGATGCTATACTTCACCTCGTAGCTTAAGGAACATCGTGTCTTCTTTGGTTTAGTGCCGCTGGGTCCAGGTAAGGAAAGGTTTCTCTCTGGGGGTGGTGGTCCGGCGGAAGCCATTTTACGGAACAATGGATGCGCGTTTACACGGAGTGGCCTTGAGGGATGAAACTGCCGCGGCTAGGTCAAGCGTCGTCTTTCCTCCCCCCGGGTGGACATGTCATAATACTTTAAGCCAATTACAGCTAGCAGCAGAGGGGGGTAGGGATGCATGGCCAATCACAGGTCTGATACGTCATATGACGTCAGTGATAACGCAACAAAGACACACACTGCGCAACCTTACCGCGCCGCTTGCCCAAGCGGAGGGAGGAGGAGGGAGAGGCAGGCAGGCAGGCGGGCGGGTGGCGGGTGGGGCAAATCTAAAAATAGCGTCGCGCCGGACACTCTCCGCGTAATGGGGTTCACGTACCGCGTAATGTGAGCACGTGAGGTTCTGGCAAGGCACCGCGTTAACGTGGAAACGCGGAATGCGGGACCGCGTAAAGTGAGGGTTAACTGTGCACCCGTAATGTACTGGCTGGCATCTCCACTCGTCCCTGCTCCCGCGTCCAAGGTCACCACTCCTCCCAACTCGCTCCCCCCTCCGCCTCCTCCACCTCCTCACCGTCACTACTGCCAACAACAAACACAAATGTTTTGTGAATAACTGCACCTCCACTTCCTATGTACAGAACTGAACTGTACTGTGCTGTGCATTTTTACAAACAATAAACATGGCAAGAAAAGCTATTAAAAAAAAAGAGATAAAAATTTCACTTTACTGTACCGTACCTATCCTCGGCGACAGGACGGGGGTCATCGGGCTCATTGTTACTCAATTCCATAACGGGTGGTGAAGTGGGGGCGAAGGTGGATTCAGCTGCTTCCTCACTGCCGCCAGTGATTGATGGTGTTAAATCTCTCCTTCGGTGATCAAAGAACATGGTGGTGGGGAGTTGTCGTCTCTTTCTTTTCATTTCTTCCATGATGTTTTTGTATGGAGCAAAAACGTCATCCATCCCTCGCATGAATTTCAGGGCACGCACCATGGAGGGGTCCATACTATAGTCCAGGCTTTTCAGGCCTCAATATTCCTGGTCATCTCCCCCAACTTCTCCAACGTTATTTCTTGGTGCTCTTCCTCTTCCTCATCCTCTTTCCCTTTCGCTTCCTCTTCCTCTTCCTTGCCTGAGTCTACTAACCCCTGTAGATCCTCCTCGGTCAGCTCAGTGTCGTGCTCTTCAATTAGCTCCCTAATCTCGTCCTCTGCCATGTCCTGGAAGCCTTCAGCAGCCACTTTCCTTGACAGTGCCAGGGTCTTTCTGAATATTTTCATTAAAATCCATCAAAATCATTTTCCTTGTCATCGTCTTAAGCACCAAACAGCTCTTCCCAGTCTTCTCCTTGAACAGGGCTAGAGGGTACATGTTTTTCGAATCGTTTTCAATTAAAAAAATGTTACAGCACATGTATATTTTACCTAAACTGTGCCTGAATGAATATATTCTCAGAAATAAATAGTAGTTTTGCTGAAACGTGATGTATTTCAATGTAAAATAGGATAAAATACATGACGAAAACAAAAGACTTTACCTAACCTTCCAGTGTTCAAGAGATGTTACTCGTTTTTTTAATAGTTTTCGGTTAAAATACTGTTATATTACAATGATATTCTATTCATACTGTGCTTGATATACTACATTCACGGAAATGTAATATTTTTGCTGAAATGACGTACGTATTACAGTGGAAAGTGGGATAAAATCGTGAAAAACAATGACTTTCGTTCAAAAGATGTTACCGTAATCACTTTTCGAATGGTTTTCAGTTAAAAAAACTGTTGCATCACAAGTGAATTAGGATAGAATATTATTGTAATACAACAGTTTTTTAACTGAAAACCATTCGAAAAGCGATTACGGTAACATCTTTTGAACGAAAGAAAGCGAAAGTCATTGCTTTCGTCACTTTCCACTGTAATACGTACGTCATTTCAGCAAAATATTACATTTCCATATTCTCAGAAATAAATAGTAGTTTTGCTGAAGCGTAATGCATTTCAATGTAAATTAGGATAAACTACATGAAAACAAAAGACTTTACCTGACCTTCCGATGTTCAAGATATGTTACTCGTTTTTTTAGTAGTTTTCGGTTAAAATACTCTTATATTAGTGATATTCTATTCATACTGTGCTTGATATAATACATTCACGGAAATGTAATACTTTTGCAACTACAATGCTGATGTCAACACAAGTGTGGTTACAGCGAGACTGACTGAGTGAGGGAGAGCTATGCGTGTGTGTGTGTGTGAGGTTGCGGGAGCGGGCGGTGTCCCGTGTTCGGTGCCGCGTGTGAGGTGAATGGCGCGCAATTTGAATGTACTTCAATTACTTCAATGTACAGAATATTCCTCCGGCAGGGCAATCCGCGTATTTGCAAATCCGTGTATGCTAAACCCGCGTATGTTAAGGGCTTACTGTATACAGTGCAAAAATTATTATGAAACACGAAGAAGGCATTAGAACCAATGCACTCTGTAAAGAATATGGCATGTCATCATCGACTGCCTCTACATTCAGCTGTTTGATATGTAAACAAAGCTGCCGGGAACATGACATACACACCTCAAAGTAAGTTAAAATACAGTATTCTATTGTTTTTTATTTATTATTTTACAGTGTACTGTACAGTACAGTACTGTAGTTAGTTTATATTTAATGTTTTGTTAATTCTATTACTGGTATACAGTACTTTGTATGTATACTTTTTCTGTGAGTTGGAACCAATTACCCAATATCCCATTGAGATAATAGATTCAATTAACGAAAATTTCTGTTAACGAACGACTCTGTGGAACGAATTTTGCACGTTAACTGAGGGACCACTGTATTGTATGTGTGTGTGTGTCTACACACGCATATACAATACAGGAAAAAGAAATTACTACTGTCTAGAACGAATGGCTCCCTGTCCCGGTCGTGAAAATGCCAGCAACTTTAAAACTTCCCTTAGACATACTTGGGTACATCCAGGGTGTCATCCGTGAATAATCGAGATGCGCGAATTGTCAGGGAATGCTGTACATTTAAATTTATTTCTCATTTTCAAGTCATACAGTACAGTATTGCTACTTTAATTTACTAAATGTTTCCTTGCAGTAGATGAACATTAGATAGTCCTTAGTTTCTTGTTGTTAAGCACATTTTACTATTGGAATGCTAGGTGTGTTAGTACAGATCAGGTTTTTGATTGTAAGGTCTAATCCTTCATTAGTTTTGGAAATATTATACAGGGTACATTGATTCAGTATAAGATTATGGAATCCTAAAGTCTTACTAACAAATTTTCCAATATTGTTTTTTTTTTTCAGTCAAGAGATATTCTTCTAACTTTAGGTAAGTGGTGCAGACTTCACTGAAATATTTCAACTTATTTTTAAGGTAATGTTGTATAATACAGTACAATAGCTAACTTTTGTTGTTCATCAATGACATTATTACTGAAAATTAACTTATACAGTAGTGTGTTTTCTTTGTTAGTACGTATCCCCAAACATACATTTAAACTTGCAGCTTGCAAATCATATCTTATTCTGTTGCAATGTTCAGTCAACCAATGTATTTTTATATGATGGAAATATTTATCTTACTTATACATATTTATGTTTTATGACTTATGGGTCATTAACAAATAACCTACATGAGATCCATACCAATAAATTACCTTCTGAGAGAGCCTCTGCCTTGGATGGAAGATTTACACCCTGAAGGTCGCAATGCATTATGGTATACTATGTCTAGATAGTTTTTGCTACAAGTAGCTCCTCATCCAGTTTAATCAGCATAGAGCTAATAATTAGGCTCCATATGATTTTGTGATTGCCTCAGAATCAGCAAATTTCAGGTCACTAGATTGAAACCCAGAGATGGCCCACCCATCTCACACCACCATTAGCCACGAGAGAACTTTCATATATCATGTCTCTGAGCTCCTACCATGATTTATAACTGGCAATGTCTTCTTCTTGGTCTTCAGAGAAGATATCATGGCGTGGATTCATCATGAAGGATAAAGTTGTGGTCACAGTGTTATTACTCCATATATATATATCGAGTATGTCAGTTCTTTCCAGAATATTTTAAGGATTTGTTGTGTAGAGAAAAGTGAGTGGTGCTTGTGATGGCCAATATTCTCCCTGATACTGATCAGAGTTGAAGTCTAAGTGCATGCTTTTTATTTAATCCTAATGGATTTGTAATGGCAGGTTGATAAATGATACTGACACACATCATGGTACTATAGGTCTTATTGAGTCTGCACAAGAAGTGTGATCTTTCAATATTACAGTTGAAAGCATAATTTGGTATACAGGGCTTATTCATGCTTCCCAAGTGTAAAAAACCCAGTTCATATTAGTTATTGTGTGGGATAAATTGTTTAACACATAATGTACAGTAGTACGGTCATCCCTTACAAATACTGTACCTGTAGTGGTCACTGTAATGGCAAATTCACAGGTGAATAATTCACTTTTTAACACCCAAAACTTGCAAATACAGTGCCATGGATGATTTACATGTGAAGGATTTAGAAAAAAATTCTAGTTTGTAGGTGACCATGGAACTAGGCAGCTTGTAACCCTGCCATCTCTTCTTTTGTTGTGGAGTTTATGAAATTGTGTCTGGAATCAGATTGGCCATTTATGTTTGACCAAGATGTGATTTTGTTTTTGTAACTTTAGTTCCTGCCTGGTCTCCTCCCTATTTATATGAGAGGGATAAAATCTGGCTTCCTATTTAAGTAATTTTAAGAACTATAGTTGCCTTAAGGAATATTGAAAGTGAGTCCCATAGGCATGACTACCCATTAAGGACAGTATGGATACAGCACACTGTATACTAAGCCTTCGGTACACAAGGAGGCAGCGTGGCCAGTACTACACTTGACAGCATTCACTTCCCAAAGTTGTAAACTTGGGTACAGTACCCATTTACAGCTGGGTGAACTGGGAGTGCCTGGGGATCAAATCACTGGACCCCAGAACAGGGGCCTTTGACTGATGGCTTAGTGTGTGCCTATTTCACTACAGGTATTAATATTTTTTATAGTGTATTATGCAAAATTAAATTTTTTCCTCCTCTTTGCTTCAGTGTAAATAATGTTGTGAAATAAGATGTTTGTAAATTAAACCCATGTTAAACTTACAATTGAAAGTGATGTCTGTGGACTTCAAAACTATTGTTGCAATGTGGATTTGATTTAAAAACTGTATTTTTTCATATTACTGTATTAACTGAATTACTGTATGTATATTCTTGTTGTAATATAAAACATCCAAAAATTTGTAAATTGTTTTAAATGTGTTGTACGTATTTACATTTCAGCTGATGGATTCCACAGAACGCACTGGGCAGTTTAAAGAAGACAACATCCACTCCAAGATTCTGGTAGATGGAAAGTACAAAGATGTTCACCATTGCATCTGCTGTCTTGTGACATGACTTTGTTTTAGGTTTGTTGTATGAATGTATGCCATCACTTGTGAAGTTATTGATCTTGTTAGAGGAATATTTTGTATAGGTATAAAAAATGTGAAAGGAATGTTTTATATAAATACTGATGATGTTTTGGGAATGTTTTCTGTCTGTAGCAAAAATATGAAGTGTTTTGTATGAAGAGCTTGTACAGTACAGTACAGTACATGAAAACTGGTACAGGACCAAGTTTTTATGGTAAATTTGTCTCTCTTCATGGGTTTAGATAAACAGTAAACCCTGCCTAATCCATGGGGTTAGTTTCTAAAAAACTCCACCCATTGTAATTATCAAAAACTGTAAATTAATGATGACAATGGGAAATAAGAAGTTATATTCTAGATCCCAAAATATAACCCTAAATTTCACTATAATATGATTTTTTTAACTTGATATGTTAATTAAACTTTCAAGCTACTTATTTTAAAAAATCCCTTGTCAAAAAAAAAAATTAATTTCCACAGAAAATATTATACAAATATGTGGATGATACAACACACACACACACCTTCTGCAACAGCGCTCTCTGATATCTTGAGGAAAACTGATGCAAAGGAGAAAATAGTTGGTATACGGTATGTCAACACATAATGGGTCAACATTATCACAAATACTGTATAGTATTTAAATTCCATCATCTCACATGGCTGTTTTGAAATCAAGAAACCTTGTATTTGCCCACTCCAGTTAACAGAAAAAGTGCTGCCTTATGTACCGGCTGCAGAGAGATTAGCCAAACGATGTACTGTATGTGAGTAGGGATTGGAAGTGTTGATGTTAGTATTACAAACAATGCCAACACAGCTGAACTATCATGAAACATTTTATGCTAGACTCTCCATTTAAGAATATTTTATTGGGTATTTTTCATTGTACAATATCATAGTGCAGAACACAAAATTTTTTGCCTATTATACATAATTATGCCACAATTCAGAGGATCATACATTGTGAACAATAGATTAAAGTGCATGGATTGGGCAGGATTTACTATGAAGCTTTTATGTAACAGTAGTACTCAATGTGCATTTACCTCTATGTTCATAGGCAGTAATGTATTTCATTTGTGTATTTTTGATGTTATTGTAATTTTTACCTACATGTTTAAGTATCATTGTTAGAGAAGAAACAAATACAGTATTAAATATGGGACAGACAATAGTTTCACAAGAATATAAAGCTCAGTAAGAGTGAATTTTGACAAATTAAATAACCTAATGTATGTACATCAAAGAGAAGGTAATTTCTTGCAGTTACTAGAAGCATTCCACAGAAGAGTATCAAAAACCTTGTTGTGGCTCTGGTATTTGTCATGGTGAGTCGTTGTGTGTTTAGCTTATGGTGGGGAAATGATTACCGGTAATAGAAAGTACAGTAGAGCAGATGAAAGATGGGAAGAATGATTATCACAAGGTTTTCAAAGGAACAAGAAACTGTTGTTGAAGGAAATGAGCACCTAGAGACTATATGGAAATACAGTTTAGAGTGAAAGAGGAGATTTTATGTGGGAAAATGAGGGAGATGGAAAGATTCTTTCTCTCTCTCATTTTTTTTTTAGTTACTGTTACATACATCAGATGAAAGAGAGGGAAGAATTGTGGAATATGCTATGGATTCATTATGTAGGAGGAAACAACTAGGGGCTGCTGAGGGCTTCCATATAGAGGTTAGAACCTGTGTTAGATATAATTGTGTATCATGTGACTAGTACAGTACAGTAAGTCCTCGCTTATATATATATATATATATATATATATATATATATATATATATATATATATATATATATATATATATATATATATATATATATATATATATATATATATATATATATATATATATATATATATATATATATATATATATATATATATATATATATATATATATATATATATATATATATATATATATATATTTCCCACAATGAAAACGTATAAGATAAATCTTGATAAAATCACACGAAAAGGGAAACAACAGAGCACCTTAGCTTTCGTCTTTATTCAAGACATCTTCAGAGGCAACTGGATTACATGGACAGAGAGAGGCTTAAATATACAGGGTGACCTTATTAAACATGAGGTCAGGTCATAATGATGTCATCCACTAATCCCCACACCAACACACACGTAGAGGAGCTAAAGAGAAGGGGGGCAACGTGAAGTATTCAAATCATCTTGTGTCACAGAAAGACTTCTGGTTGAAGCTAGTTTGATTAGGGAATTAAAATCAATAAACCTTAGTGATGGTCAGTTCAAAACTGATAATTTGTTACATAAATTTATTTGTCAGTGGCCCAAGGTTAAAAATGCTTTGAAAACCTTGGATCTGGATGTAGGATAGTTATTTAGTGGGTCCCTTATTTTTGACCTTGACTAGTCACGTCGCCCCCTTCTCTTTAGCTCCTCTACATGTGTGTTGGTGTGGGGATTAGTGGATGACATCATTATGACCTGACCTCATGTTTAATAAGGTCACCCTGTATATTTAAGCCTCTCTCTGTCAATGTAATCCAGTTGCCTCTGAAGATGTCTTGAATAAAGATGAAAGCTAAGGTGCTCCGTTGTTTCCCTTTTCCCGTGTGATTTTATCACTATATATATATATATATATATATATATATATATATATATATATATATATATATATATATATATATATATATATATATATATATATATATATATATATATATATATATATATATATATATATATAATCAAGAGTAAGAAATGATAAATGTATGTTGTGTGTCAAAGTAAGAGAAACAATTGAGACCCTGCAATTGTGTTTTACGTAAACGAGACAGAAAATCAGATCAGCAACCAGAGACTTGGTCACAATATTCGTGATGCCATATGGCAGCAGGGTCTACCAATAGACAACACATGCTTCCAATATTATAACTTTGAAGTGAACAATGACCAAATAAAACATTCAGGTGAAGCAAAAACTACTTTACAGTCAAGCAAGTGGAGTAATGCTGACTTGGAGAAAATATGTAAGTACCCCCCCTGTACTGTACTGTATTTTTTGCCCCTTGTATACAATATGATTGTGTGTAAAGTTTCTTTAAATTTTTCTTTTAAACTGGTCTTCATGTTATGTTATGTTTGTGGTTCATTGTTCAGACAACTTACTCAACAGTAATTGTATAGTATAGTCATATTTAATTCTTGAACAGTAGATACTGGTAGTTGTAGAAGAGTTGGTGGAAATGTCTTGATAAAATCTTCTCATAGAAAATGTGGTTTTCGGAATATTTTTGGATTCATGGGTGGATATTGTTAGTGTTCAAACACTTCATTATATCCTGTGAATCAGGGTATTTATAGGAGCAAACAAGGTTTATTTATTTGTCATATAATGATTATCTGTGTGGGGCACAAATTTTTGAGATATTACGGTAAATGGTGAACTCTTTAATGCTGTTTTGTCATCACTGTGTATTAATTATTGCTGTTGTAAATCTGCACGAGTGATTTTTAGTATTCATATTAGTGGAGTGTCTTCTAGCATTACAGTCCTCAAGATGACTGACACTTGTTCTTGATGGCTGATATTGAGTGTGCAATCCAGTATAATTGAATAGTACCTCGACTTTTTTAGCCTGTGTTAAGATTTTCTCCAGGATTTTGTCACTGATTGACTCGATGAGCTCATTTTGAATAATTATTTTATTAAGACAGGTAACATGTCTTCCTACTCCACTCTCAATTCGTTCGATGTGTTGTTTCAAAATAGGATCAAATTTAGCTATAAGCTCAACTTCTTTCAGGAAGTTCCCATTGTCTGGCTGATATAGTATGTCAGTGAACCCTCTCAAGGCAAAATTTCTCTCAGCTAATGATTGTATGATACACACTAAACTTGTGAGAACATCCCTCCAGCGTCTTCTCTCTGCCTCTATGAGAGAAATTTCTGTCTTACCAATAGTTTTCCCCCATTTTAAGGCACTGCTCCAATCTTTCCACATTCTCATGTGTTTAATGAGCTCTGGGCTATTTTTTAGTAATTTAAGTAAATAGCCAATAGTCTTTCAATCAGTTAGTACCTCTTTTATTAACTTGTAATCTTTCACAGAAAGCAGTTGGCAACAAAAGCAGTAGGTGGCATTGTTTTGCTTGGAGTAAACCAACCAGCTTTGCTTAATCTTTTCTCCATTTACTAAAATTCTCTGCATGTGGTAGTGATGAAAGCTTCTATTATCCTGACTTTGGAAAAGGAAAATCTGGGTCTATCTGAAATGGACCTCTCATTATCAGCTCTGTTATGATAAAAGCAGTAATTACAGATGGCCAGTCAGCTGGATCCAGGGATTGTGCATAACTTGTGTCTGACGAGGGTCTTCCTCTTGTGTGGGCTGAGTTGTTCCTATGGGTCCTTCCTCTTGTGTGGGCTGAGTTGTTCCTATGGGTCCTTCCTCTTGTGTGGGCTGAGCTGTCCCTGTGGGTCTCTCCTCTTGTGTGGTCCAGCCTCAGAAAATGTAAACTAAATTCCTGAAGGAGGAATCAGGTGGCCCCTTATAGGCTGGGGGCCCAAGGCGGCTGCCTAGTCCGCCTATATCTCAAGCCGGCCCTGATTTAGGTTCATCAATTAAACTATAATTTGCGATTTTATAATTCACTATGTCTTCTGGTATGTAACCCGCAAATTATCATGACTCCACTGTACTGTATTCATCACTGCATAAGACCTGCATACTTTGGATCATGTGAGCCTGGCTGCACAGATGGACAGTTACATAAAATAATAATTATAGTGTAAATATACTGTAAGCAAGTAAATGTAGTTCTGTATATTTGTAACAGATACATTTTAATGTAAGGTAGAAGTATAGTGCATATTAAGCACAGGTATAAAGTAAAATTTTAAATATCATACAGCTCCTTACCTAATTTAATTAATAATTGGAGGCCCCTGGAAAAATGCTACAGATGTACCATATTAAACCAAGAATGAAACACCATGATTACATTACAGTATAATTAAATATTAATGTAAATGACGGTACAATACTGTATAGTATCGGATAAAAGTTTGCTCCCTGTGTTGAAACCGAGTCTTGGGAATGAGTCCCTAAACTTACTTACCCTAACTCATATGATACAGTGTGTGTTTTATTTAATTTGGGATCAATGATACTGTACTTCAGTATGGGATGGAGGGATTTTTTGATATCAACTGTACATATTTAGAATTTTCTGTAATATTTACATGATTCAAAATATTAATTTATAAGTGTCAAATATGTTTGTCAGGTGAGGCTGATGATTATTAGTGAGGGTGGAATACAGCATAACTCTGTTTCCTGTTGAATACTGTACAAGCAAACTTCTTCTAATGGACTGCATACTTCCCAAAGAAATGTCCATTAACCCTCTCACACATAAGATAAGTTTTAAGTTTTCCAGTTCCAAGATCAGATTCTGGGGCCCCCAGGGCAGGCGAGACAGTGCACAGTGAATATTTTTTTGCTTTATCAATTCCCCCCTCCCCAAACTTGTTTTTATTGGCCTAACCCATATATATTTGGCTTTATAACTGATTGCTCTGCAACATAAGGCAAAAATAAAGAATAATACAAGTATACTGTTTAGCTATTTGTCTTCACTTATAATAAATATGATAAAAAAATTCACACCAGTACGTTCACAACCTTCCAGCTCAAAATTGTCTGAGCAAACTTTTTAAGTACTATACACTGATAGAAGCTGAATTTTATGAGCTTTCCAAAGCAGTAATTAGATTTCTGATATGACCAATAGTTTTTGAAAAATGGCAAAAAAAGTTATTCTCAAATGGTTTTTTTTTTTTCTTTTTCGATTATTTTTGTGCCTATGTTTTATAACGATAATTATATTGTATCTTGTAACCAACACCATAATGAAGGGAATGGTACTGATAAAATTCATGTAAGTCTTGAGGATTTTTCATTTGGGGGGGGTTTTATACACGCAGGCGGGCATTCGACTGCATCGCATGACATATGGTACAGGTATATAGTATAATATATGAGAATAACACAAATTACAACAAAATACTGTATACCATAATAAAATAAATTGTAATATAGTATAATATGAAATAAGATCATATATATAGGTGGATTGGGAGTTCAACCGCATCACATGATTGTCATATACAGTAGTAAAAGAAAATAACAATATCTAATAAAAAAATGCAATATAAAATAAAATAAAATATATTATAAAATATATTCTTTCTGTACTGACAAAATAAGATCATTCTGTACTCGCATCCTTTGGGGGAGGAAGTGAGTGAATGAGCCCGAGTAAAATATTTGAGAGAGAGTGAATGTAGGTGAGTGTGGAGTGAATGTAGGAGTGTGTGGGAGTGTGGGTGAGGGTGTGTGAGTGTGGAGTAGATAAGGAGAAGGGTTCCTATGTAGCATAGTTGGTAAGTAGAGTGTGGGAGGTGGAAGGTGCTTGGTTTCAGTGGGAGGCATGTGGTAGGGTGGTGAGGAAGGTAGGTAGCAGCTGGTATAAGGCTTACATAATGCAGGACATGCTTGGGATGGAAGGTTGTGGTGAAGACGAGTGAGGGTGGTACGTTGTTGGTGCGGGGTGGTGGTAAAGGGAGTCTGGTGGTGAGGCTCGTGATAACGTGGATGCAACCAACACAATTTCTCCCTCAGATTCATGACTGTTGTTATCATGATCATTTTCACTACCAAGCTCTTTATTATCACTATCCACTTGATCCTCACTGTCCCTAAACAGTTCT